AAGAGATTTGCAGGGCGTGGCATTGTCAGAAACGCAATGAGATGAGGAGAGATAGGATGAGAAGAGGGGAAAGGGATTCTGTAACACACAGAAAGACAACACACACGTGCGGAGAGAGAGAAGAGAAAGCAGAGAGAGAGAGAAGAGAAGAGAGTGAGAGAGAGAGAATGAGAAGAGAGAGGAGAGAGAGAAGCGAGAGAGAGAGAGAGATATATATATTATAGAGAGAGAGAGAGAGAAGAAGAGAGACGAGATGTAAAGAAGAGGAAATGAGAGGAGATGAGAGAGGAGAGAGAGAGAGAGCAGAGGAGGTGACGAGAGAGAGAGGAAGGAGAGCGAGAGAGAGAGATAGAGAGAAGAGAGAGAGAGAGGAGAGAGAGAGAGAGAGAGAGAAAGAGAGAGAGAGAGAGAGAGCGCAGAGAGAGAGAGAGATATATATATAGAGAGAGAGAGAGAGCGAGACGAGAGCGGAGAGAGAGCGAGAGAGAGAGAGCGATGAGAGAGAGCAGAGAGAGAGAGAGAGAGAGATAAAGAGAGAGAAAGAGAAAGAGAGCGAGAGAGAAGAGGAGAGCGAGAGAGAGAGAGAGAGAGAGAGAGAGCGAGAAAGAGAGCGAGAGAGAGAGAGAGAGAAAGAGTAGATGAGAGAGAGAGAGAGAGCGAGAGAGAGAGCGCGCGCCTGCAGGATAGAGAGAGATGAGAGAAGAGAAGAAAGAGAGAGAGAGAGAGAGAGAGAGAGAGAGCAGGAGAGAGAGAGAGAGAGAGAGAGAAGAGAGGGTCATAGATATTACACTCACACACATTATGATGGAGGAAAGTAGAGGGAAGGAAGGAAGCGGGAGGAATAAGTGAAGGATGGAGGGAGTGAGGAAGCAATCTAATTGGTGAATAAATGTAGGGAGAAAGAGAAAAGCCCGAGGGGTGTGAGAGATGGTGGGAGGGAGAGGGGGGAAGGAGCGAGAGGAGAGAGAGAGAAGAGAGAGGATGAGAGGTCTGTCGGTGGAGTGATAGTCATTACACTGGGCCACTCATCCATCTCTAAACTCTCTTTCTCCTTTCGTCTCTCTCTCAATCTCTCTCTCTCTCTCTCTCTTTCTCTCTTTCTTTTTCTCTCTTTATCGCTCGCTCTCTCACTCTCTCTCTCTCTACCCTACATCAACCCTATTAATGTCCGGATAGCGCAGGCGCTTCTGCGAAACGAGCAAAACCGCATTGTTAAAAAGCGCAACTTAGACTATTACAGTCCTCCCTCTTATCTTCCCTTCCATCGCCTTGCATTTCTTTGCTGCGAATTCAATCGTTCGCTTTGTCGTTCGTCACTTCTAGTCGGAGCAACCCCCCCCCCCGGCTGAATATCTATCTCCTCTCGTTCTCTCTGCTTCGTTCTTTGTCTTGTCATATGTTCATTCCTGGCTAGATTTCCCCCTTTCGAATTCAGAATTCCGGGTCTGTGGCTTTATGTCTGGGCTGTCGAGGCCAACTTCGACTTGTGAAAAGCTACTAGGTTCAGCCTATTCACTTGGGCTGTACTTGCAGTGCTAGTGTAGTGTTCGGTTCTTGACGCGACGTGTCGTGACTGCCTTGCGATCTGGCTCGCTCACTTTAGGTTGCTTCGAATTATGTATAAGTTGGGTCAACTGGAGGCAACTAGCGGTCTGGCTGATTTGCGTTTTCTTTCCAGTTTGCTTCGAATTCTCTAGTTTGCCTTCCTATCCGTATTGTCGGTCTCGCGAAGCGTCCTGATCATTAAGTCCTCGCCTTTTCGTATCATTACGTCAGCAATATCCTGTTGGACGTGTTATTCCTATGCTGCTCTATTAGCTGTGTCAGCGGTCTGCGTCGATTTCGCATTCTCAAATTGTACCAACGTGGCATTCTGCGCTCATTTGTTGTCTGTTTCTTTTGAGGCAAGCAATTTCGGCAAAGCAGTTAAACGTACTATCGTTTGGTTATTTTTGTCTGACGTCGATGTCTTTGTAACTTATGCGAAATTCTAAGAGAAATAAGAGATGAGAGAGATGAGAGCGAGAGATAAGTAGTAAGGGGTTGAGGGCTTATTTGTGTATCTAGTTAGCGGGTTTCAAGTTATAGCCAGTCTATCCAAATCCGCTGTTGTTTGTGTCTAATACTACGTGTTGGCCATTTAGATATGCTACGGTGTTTAATTCGCTCGCGATGTTTTCCCGGAGGATTCATCTCTGGTTAGGTCTCTTTTAATTTGATTTGGATGATGGTGGTGTGTAAAGGATTGAGAAAATCATTTGTTTTCGCTATGCTAATAAATCATCGATCGTCGATTTGCTTTGCTTGTTTTGTTTTTCGTATGGCTGATTCTGTTGAAACTTGTATGATTATTTAATAGGGGTGAAAGTGCTTCTGATGATCATTGACTTTCAGATCTTATCTGCTTAGATGGATAATTAAATATGCGTTCTATTATTGACATTTGGATTGATTGCCTGATTGATGGTCTGTTGATCTATTTAGAGGCTCTTACCAGTGTCGTCGTTGGTATATTGAGCCTAGGTATGTCTTAGTCGTTAAGACGATCTGATGGATATTAGTCTATGCTAGTTTTGTATTCATAGTGTGTGTATAATCATAATAAGGGTTCAGCAATCTTCATCGCATTCTCTGATTCTGCATCTTGATCAGCTTCTCTGCATCGCTTCTTGTTCTCCTCAGTCTCCCATGTCTCTCATCACACCGATCTCTTGATTCCTCTCAATGCAGGCTCTGCGGATTCGTAATAACTCCCTCTGTTTCTCGTCTTCTTCTCTCTCATCTCTCTCTTCGCTTTCGCGTCTCTTCCTTTCTTCTTGCTCTCGCCCTACTGCCTCGCTCGCCTATGTTTTCACCGCCTGCGACACTGGCCTTGTTACTGTCGAGAAGCGCAGAGGGGAGCAGGAGAGAAAAGGGGAGAGTCGACAACGTCAGAGAGAGGGAATATCCTGCTTCCAGTGTGTGAACATGTGTATAAACACCCCTCCCCCATGGTGTCGCAGTGCATATATAGACGACTGGCGCTGTGCTGCGAGGCGTCCTAGCCCTAAGCAGCGAAGGAGTGAGCAACAAACGTGCAATGATTTCTGTCGATCAGTTTATGTCGCGTGTATGATTGTGTGGTGTGTGTGTGTAGTGGTGTGTGTTGGTTAATACATGATTGCTTTATTCAGCACCGGCATGATGATCGTTGAATAATTTACTCCAACGTCCCACCGTTGCAAGCATATCTAGTATTGATGACGATGTCCAATACTACTACTACCGATTATATAATAACTAATATGTTTCGCTTATTATGTTATTTATTCGTGTTGTAATAGTACTACTATTATAATTATTATGTATTATCATCATCATCATCTCATCATCATCAACAACAACAACGAACAATCATCATCATCAAATCATCTCTATTGTTATTCGCAAACTAACAAAGTAAAGTGTAATACTATCTCTGAAATTTCTCGCAGCAACTCCTCTCGTGTGGGAGCAGAAATCCGTGAGGTCAGGTCAGGGGAGGAGGAGGAGGAGGAAGGGCCCGACACGCCTATAGGAGAGGAAGCCGGTGACAGCCAGCAGCAGGAGCAGCAGCGGGAGGAGGAGGAGGGGAGAGACGGGAGGAGCAAGCGAGGCTCACGTCAGGGCGGTGGCCCAGAGAAACAAACAAAGAGACGGGCGTGAGTGCGTGCGTGGTGGCGTGCGTGCGTGCGTGCGTGCGTGAGTCCGGCCGTGAATGCGCGTGAGTGCGTGAGTGCGTGCGTGCGCGCCGTCAGCTACTTACTCTGTTATATTCTGCAACCACTGACTAATGTCACTTCATCACTCATAGTTTGCTAATGCGCAATTAGGGTTAGGGCTTGTGGATTAGTGCTTTTGCGACAGTACTCTTTCAATAATACGTTCGCAATATCACTGTTGCAAAGTTGTTTGTGCGATGATACATTTGATGCATTTTCAGTGATGTTTTTTTGCAAGGATATGTTTGTAGTGTCACTTTTACAATGAGACATCTGCAATTTTGTCATTGCATCATATGCTCATGTAGCGACTGACATATGAGTTTTAAATTAAAGGCAACAAACTCAGAATTTTTCCAACAAAATTCCACCAAACAATATTTCGCCGTCGCGTCACTTAATCAATTATTTTCTGACGAAACTCATCGTTGCGTATTGACAGGTCGGGAGGTGGCGCCACCGAAGCTTCAAAGTCCTCTCCGAAGCCACGGAAGAAGGAGGAGGGCACGCGCAGCCGGGGAGGCTCCCAGGAGAACCTCCTCTCTGACAAGGTCTCTCAGAAGACGAAGGAAGCCAAGCAGCCGCGCTCTTCCTCCTCCGCCTCCTCCGCTGCCGCGGAGAAGAAGCCTTCGCCGGCCGACAAGCAGAAGTTTGGCTTCAAGCGGCCCACCAGCGCCACCTGCGGGGGAAAGACGCCGACGCCGCCGACGAAGGTGCCGGGCAGCAACGGGTCGCAGCGCAGCAACGACATAGACGACGCGTGCTGCTCGGAGATGACGCAGCGCACGAACCCGCGCGCCAACATGCTGTCCAGCTCCTACGGCGGTCAGGCGGGCGTCTACGCGGCGACGACGGCCGGGGTTCCCGGCGCGTACGGACAGTACAGCACGGCATTCGTGGGTGGCGGCGGTCAGTACGCGACGGGGTACATGAGTGGCTCGAGCACGCTCGACCGCAACAGTGTGTGTGTGTGTGCGTGCGTGCGTGCGAGCGTGCGCGTGTGATTGCGTGCGTGTGGAGGGGCGTTAGAGCAGAAGCTGCTAATTCGCTTGCCGGCGATGCTCGCGTGCGTGCTGACATACTGATGTATGTTGTCTCGTAAAATAGCGAGTAGCTGCGTGAGACGCTACCATTACTGTCTATTACTATGTTCTGCGAAGTTTTTTCTTTATTATTTATACACACCATCGTGATTTTACACGCGATCATGTCGCTCTCTGTCGATTTAGTTTTTTTTTCATTTATGCGAGTAGGTCTACTTGCTATTGTGCTCTTGGTTCCAAATAAGGGAAAGAAGGGAGAGGGGAGGGGATATCACGCACGGGACGGAGGCAGAGAGAGCGCGCAAGAACGGGAGGGAGGAAGGAGAGAGAGAATGAGAGAAAGAGCGAAAAAGGAAGAAAATAAAAAGAGAGAGATAGAGATAGCACGCCACGGTGACAGGGCTAAGCTGGGTCGGGCAGTGAGGGGTAGAGAGAGAAAAGGTGGGAAAGAGAGAGAGAGAGAGGGAGGGGGAGAGAGAGAGAGAGAGAGAGAGAGGGGGAGAGAGAGAGAGGGAGAGAGAGAGAGAGAAAGAGAGAGAGAAACTGAGATCGGGGAGAAAAATCACGGCAACCAGCGGCGGGTTTCATCAGCGAGTAGATAGGACGCTGTCATCGACTAACCACTGTACGACGCTCCCCTACCACCCCGCCCCTTCCCCGTACTAACCACCATACCACTGTAACCCCTCCTCGTAATCCTATTAATTCGACGACGACAACAAACAGAGAAACTCGATCCCCATTGAAGTGGAGACGACCGCTTCAGCAATCAGCTTCAGCAGGCAGACAGCGATTCACATTCTTGCATTGATGGTAGTTAACTAACTCTTGCTACCCGGTGCTTACTTATCCGTGCCGAGCCTAATGCCTCGCTATGCCTGTGTCTATGCCTCTGTCTATATCTGTGTCTACGTGCGGTGGTCAGGGGAAGGAGCTGTATCTATGTCGGCCTGCCTGTGAGGCGGTTGTGAGGCAGGTTACGTGTGTGATTTAGCAAGATGTTTAAAAACAGTCCCAGCTAGGAGGCTAGGGTTGCAGCGATGGCATTGCAGAACGGCATGAGATAGAGAGAAGGATGAGAAGAGGGGAAAGGGTTCTTGTAACACACAGAAAGACAACACACGTGCGGAGAGAGAGAGAGAGAAAGAGAGAGAGAGAGAGAGAGAGAGAGAGAGC